GGGGCAGGTATTCATATATTCGTGTTCTGCCCAATTAATTTCTTTTGAAATCGATTGTTTTTTACAGTCTGTGAACACGAATATATGAATATCTGCCCCCGCTATTATCGATATTCCGGCGCCTCTGTACTAAGGGTCTGTTGATATGATCTGGGCTAGGCAGCATGGGACCCTAAAGGCAAGTTCATGTTGCCTGATTGTGGGATAGAATGTTTACTGTAAATGGTGAATTTCTTGGCTTGCATAGTTGGGATTCTGCCAACGGATACCACGTGCTTAGCCAGGATAGTAGCAGGGTAGTATCGCGACAATACTGGCAAATGTTGTCTCTTGCCTAGCCAGGTCATAAGAACAGGCCCCAATTGTGACTAGCGGGCCAGATTAAGGAAGAAACAATGAGGGTCCTATGGCTATGCCAGGATTCTGGCAATGGAAACCTCGCGCTTAGCCAGGCCGATAGTAGCAGGATAGGATAGGACATACTGGGAAATGTCGTCTCCCACCTAGCCAGGTAATATGAACAGGGCCCAAATGCGACTAGTGAGATAGATGAAGTAAAAGGTCATAATTATATATCCATAAATTTTGATACCTGAACAGCAACATTGAACAAAATCATTTTGTTCCAAAGTCATCCATCTTCCTTAAGTTTAGAACACTGAGACCAATGAATATATTGTCATTCAACGATTAAAAACAATGAAGACAAGTGTTATGGTCAAACAAACGAAAATATTCATGTCCACTACAGGCTGCAACACGCAATGTTGACACATTATCCTGAAGTCGACAAAATGTCGAAATCGACGAAAAACGAGCCAAGAAACGGTTATTGAGCTAATCAATCAAATAAATACTTGGCATAAGTTTGAAGGTCCATAGTCCAAATATTTGATGAGTTTCTTTAGCCCATTTATACCAACAAAATTTTAAAAATTCCCTGTATTTAGATACGAACCATATTGATCGCCACGCTGTTTAGCAAGAAATCGACATGTCCAACTTGTCCCGGCCCGGAAGTGTCCTGTTTACTTGTTACACAGGATATTAATAAGTTAATGTGAAAATATGAAGATAAAAGTATCTTTTAAAAAATAAAACCTCTCAAACCTCGATTTGAAAGGCTTTTAAAAACGCTAATCCGTTCGGAACCTACAAATTTGAGAGGTGGTATTTAAGCTTGCGCAAGGCAAAGTTTGAAGACCCATATCTTCGTAATCACGCAATTAATCAAAAATCGCCACGAGGAAGTTGAGGAGAATTCCTTTAAGAACAACATATATCAATTTCATGGCAAAAAAACAAAAAACCGCTTGCAGAAAAGCTCTGAAGTAACCCCATATGTTTGTTTACAAATTTCATGTGATGAAGCGTTTTACGCATTCTGATTGGCTTAGGGCAAAAATGTAAATAAAAACGCTGATTGGTCGAGAACGAAATTTCCCCTTGTTATCTCTCGCATGAATTTCGCTACTCGATCACAATAGTGCAACGTTTCCATGGAAATATTGCACTAAGAAGGGTAACAACATCTGCTAAACAAACAAAAGATCCATACCGACTAACTATACGAATATGCATGCCAAAAGGAAGCAATAGATATCATGCAACTCGCCCTCATCAACGACGTAAAAAATAGCAAATTTCTGCAGGAAACAACGGCGCGACGTCGACCAAAACCTCGCGCCACACAACCAACAACCAATTCTGCGACGGACTACACGGCGATGTGCAGATCTCTTGTTGCATGACACAGCGAAATATATCTCTTTCTGGTTCGCGTAATATTCTGTTGCGAAGCCACAATGATCACACAGAAAACCCGCCAGTTTCAAGGCCTTCTGACGCCACCCTTTATAGTCCTACTGCGCAGCTTTCCTTAGAATCACTCCGCTCGTTAAAGCCTATTTAAACGGATGCAACATTTGTTGGACAGTTGTTGTACGATTGTTGGTGCACGTGTTCAAACCGATGCAACAATTAGCCATCAAATTTTAGCAGTTCTATTAGTATAATATTCTGTTGGAAAATGGTTATGCAAAGAACGGTGTGACTCCTTGTGTTGATTGGGCAGTATTTACCGAATATTAATTAAGTACGCATAGGTTTTCAATGTTTTTTTCACAAAATGGCCGCACTTGCTTGCTGCTGTTTCTATATATGTTAAATTGTTATATATATATATATATATATATATATATATATATATATATATATATATATATATATATATATATATATATATATATATATATATATATATAGTGTAGGATTGGAACTGTCAATTTGTGTTTTATTAGTAATGACAACTGTGCTTATCACAGGAAATTTACGGTCGACTATCCTTATCACAGGAAACTTATGTTTTTAAGTTGATGTAGTTAATTACGTTTTTGCATGGAAAAAGCACGCTTAGCCCCAGAACTCGGCAGTATAGTTTGAGACACTCGTAAAGAGAGGACAGCCAGAGAGAGAGATAATTTACGTTGAAAGTTAAAGAGCTACTGGGGAAACATCTGTAAGTGACAATTCATTTGTATATTGTAGTTTATTGTTTAGTTGCGTTAGTGCTAGGTTAAGTATTTAGTATTAATTTAGGTTTATATTCATTTCTATTTAGTCGAACCACGTTTCACGTTACACGTTATAGTTTCGCGTTTATATTACAAGTTTGGTTATTATACGATTATATTCGAGTTTGTGATCTATTTATTTCGTTGCCGTTGGCAAATTGGTAATCTGAACGACCCTTTTCTACGTGCGTTTGAACTGTTTTCCTAACGTTACCTCAATATCGGTCTCAAATTGTGCTCACCCGTGAGCTTTATACCATCTCGGTTTCACTGTGCATGTCAATGGTGTTAGAGCTTACATAAGTTCGAAGATACCTACAATGTATTGAAAACTCTCTGCGAGAAATCTAGCCAAAGTTTATTCATCTCTGGTCAAAACGTAAATTAGTCACGCGATAATAACAAAGAGATTACCATGAGTTTGGTATCACAAGTAATCGACCAACCTGACCCGCTAAGGCGAGAAATAACAGATCACGAACCCGGGGCAAGTGAGCCCGACCAAAACGATGCTATAAAGCGAGAATTAGTTCAGCTGAAAACAGCGAGGAAAACTACCAAATGTGCTCTCACGCGCAAAATGAATGAAATTACCGAATTAATTAAAGATATTAGTAATGTTCAACAAGTTCAGAGCGTATACTGCGAATTTGAAGAGGCCTCAAGAAAATTCTTTTTGGCGCACAAAAACTACCATTCAAAATTAACCGACGAAGATGATTTAGCAGAATGTATAGCTTATTACGAAGCCGAAGTACGTAGAACATCTGCGTTTGAAGATAAGATTACAGCTTGGCTCCATGACAATGTTCAAAAATTAAATGACGGAAACGACCTCTTAAACGAAATTAAACCAAGCGACTCCGTGAGCAATGTTGGCACGGACTATGTTTCAAAAACCTCACGCAAATCTAAAAGTATCCGCTCTGAAGTCAGTTTGTTAAGTTCGCGATCCAGTAAAGGATCAGTTGTTAGCGCAAAAGCCGCTGCTGCAGCAAGAAAAGCTGTTTTAAAAGAAGAAGCGCTAAGACTTCATAAACGCCAAGAAATTCAAAAACAAGAGTTCCTTCTTAAGCAACAAAAGGAAGAACTTGAGCTCGAGACTAAAATCGCGCAAGCTGCCGCCGAAGAACGCACTTATAGCGAGATCGGTGCGACAGAAAATGCTAGTAACGAACAGTGCCGAGAACAGTGCGATGAAAGTTATGAGTTATCGCGCGTGATTCCGATCAACTCACAATTAGTTTCAAATTCCATACCCCCAAGGGAGGAACATTCTAGACATAATCTTGATGTGCCAAAACAATTATCAAGCAATCAACAAGTCCTATCAACACCAATTAAGCTTAACCCACACGCAGGTGCGTGGAGTATGAACAATGTTATAAACGTACCTACATGTCAAGTGAATAATGTCAATGTCAACGAACACATTGAAGCTGAACCTGAACTAGCATGCACGATGGGAAACGCTGAAATTCAGGCAGATGTCCCAGCAATCAACCCCCCGGTATACCAACAAATATCGAACATGCAAATGGCTCAATTATTAGCCCAGCAACAACAGCATACATTAGCATTAACACTACCAACACCAACAGTGCCCACCTTTTCTGGAAACCCTATTGATTTCCACACTTTTATTCAAGCCTTTGAGCAACTAATCGAACAGAAAACAGGTAATGACAGTGCACGATTATACTATCTCATACAATACACCTCAGGCGACGTTCAAGAGTTAATGCGTAGTTGTCTATCCATGAATCCTCAGGAAGGATACCAAGAAGCGCGCAGGCTTCTTAAATCGAGATACGGTCGAAGTTACCAGATCGCTACCGCATACGTTGAGCGCATAAATAGTTACCCGCAAATTAAGTCTGAGGACGGTGCGAGTTTACAAATATTTTCAGTTTTACTTACAAGTTGTAAGAACGCTCTCAAGCAAATTGGCTACCTAAATAAAATAGAAAATCCGGATAGCTTGCAAAGAATCATGGAGAAACTACCTTTTGGCCTAAGACAAAAATGGCGTTACGTCGCTGATGACATCACGGAAGTTCGACAGCGCGAGATCACGGTTGAAGATATCGCAGTATTTGTAGAGAAACTGGCGAGGGCTAGCAGTCATCCAATTTTCGGGAAAATTTCTAAAGAGATGAGATCTGAGAAACCTGCTGGCAAGAAAGAAAGATTCCCTAACGGTTCGTCGTTCTTCACGAATGGCAATGACGGTCAGCGTCCACGTTTGAAATGCCCTTCATGTAAAGGCGAACACTGGCTATCCCGGTGTGAGGATTTCAAGATAAAACCTGTCGAAGAGCGGTTCAAACTCATTCGTTCTCTGAGGCTCTGTGATAACTGTCTTACCTCTGGTCACGTGGCGAGATCCTGCGAGAAGGGAAGTTTTTGCAAGATCGAAGGATGCAAGTTCAAGCATTCCACGTTCCTACATCGCAAAACTCGCAACGTTACTACTGATGATAAATCCAAATCGAATCAACAAGAAAACGACAAAACTGCAACCGAACAAAAGCCCAAAAACGAAGAGAAAAACGTACAAAACGGCTACGTGAATGTTGGGGAAGAGCGGCGTGCTACTCGAAGTGTGACAGGCATGCCGGTCCTTCCAGTGAGAGTTAAAGCGAAAGATTCAAATCGAACAGTAGAAACGTATGCGTTCCTTGATGGAGGCTCCAAAACGTCGTTCGTCACGGAATCTTTGTTGAAGAAGCTCGTTGCTAAAGGTTATCAAACTACACTTTCCAGTCTCGAAGTAAGTGATCTGGATGGTCAGTATACAGTAAATCTCCCTTCAGTGTATTCCGTAATGAAGCTGCCAGTGTCAAAAGAAGATATTCCACGTCAAACCGACATAGATCGTTGGCCTTATCTCCAAGGTATCACGACGACAGAAATCGATGCCGAAGTCGGTTTGCTTATTGGTAATGACGTTCCTAAAGCTCTGCAACCTATAGAAATACGAGAAAGCGTTGACGAGGGTCCGTACGCCGTAAAGACTGCTCTTGGTTGGACTGTAAATGGACCACTTGGACGAGTCGATTCACAAGAATCAACAGCTAACCTTATTCATGCGGACGGAGAGCTAGAGAACCTTTTCAGACGCTTCTGCGACCGAGAGTTCGACGATGTGGACGATGAAATTGCGATGTCATGCGACGACAAGCGAGCGTTATCTGTTATGGAAGAAACTATCCAACTAAAAGGGGGTCACTACGAACTGGCCTTACCATGGAAAAATCCACCACCATCCTTGCCGAGAAACAGACCACTCGCTGAGCACCGATTGAAGTTGCTAAAGAATCATCTGGAGAAAGATAACGAGCTTTTAGAGAAGTATTCAACGTTTATGAATGACCTTCTTGAAAGGGGCTACGCAAGAAAAGCACCAGACCGACAACACGAGGAGCAAAACGACGCGACATGGTATCTTCCCCCACCGCCCTGTCTTCCATCCTCAGAAACCGGACAAAGTACGGGTTGTGTTCGACTGCGCGGCCGAGTATGGAGGTACGTCATTAAACAAGGAGTTGTTGCAGGGGCCGGATTTAACAAACAGTCTAGTTGGTGTTTTAACGCGATTTCGTGAAGGACCGGTGGCGATGACGACAGGTATTGAAGCTATGTTCCATCAGGTTCGAGTTCGACCTTCCGATTGTGATTCCTTGCGCTTTTTGTGGTGGCCAGATAACGACCTTAGCAAAGAACCTACAGAATATCAGATGATGGTATATCTTTTTGGCAGTGTTTCATCTCCTACCTGCGCAAATTTTGCCTTGCGAAAAACAGCAGATGACAACAACGAGCAATTCGATCCAGACACGATCAGCACGGTCAAACGGAATTTCTACGTGGACGACTGCCTCGAGTCTTCACGAAACGAGCAAGCAGCAATCACCACTGCAGAGCAACTACGTATCCTGCTTTCCAAAGGCGGATTTCGTCCGACGAAGTGGCTTTCGAACTCCAGAAGAGTTATCGAATCAATTCCAGAATCAGAAAGGTCCAAATTGGTGAAAGAGATCCGTTTCGGCGAGTTACCAACGGAACGCGCTCTTGGGGTATTATGGAACGTCGAATCGGACACTTTCGGATTCACGATCGTAATCAAGAGTAAACCATTTACAAGACGAGGAATCTTGTCGGTCGTGTCATCAGTGTATGATCCACTTGGGTTTGCAGCGCCATTCGTTCTGCTGGCGAAAGAAGTCCTTCAGGATTTGTGTAGAATGAATCTGGGATGGGACGATCCAATCCCAGAAGAGTGCTCGGAGCGTTGGGAAGCTTGGCTGAGTGAACTACCGAAGCTGGAAAATTTAAGGATCCAACGTTGCTTCCAACCACCTGACTTTGGAAAAGTTGTCTCAACTGAATTGCATCACTTCTCTGACGCCTCCCAACGTGGTTACGGTGCTGTTTCCTACCTACGTTCCACCAATGCCGAAGGAGTCAACCACTGTTCATTTGTTATGGGAAAATCGAGATTGGCGCCACTAAAAACCATTACGATCCCGCGGTTGGAGTTATCAGCAGCCGTTTTAGCGAAAAAGTTGGACAAGTCAATCAGAAAGGAAATTGATATACCGATCTGCGAGTCAGTATTTTGGACTGACAGTACGTGCGTCCTAAGTTACATCGCGAGTAAAGATAGAAGATTTCATACCTTTGTTGCCAATCGCGTCTCCTCCATCCACGAAGCGTCTTCCCCATCACAGTGGAACTACGTGGACACGAAGTCGAACCCAGCTGACGATGCGTCAAGGGGGATACAAGTTAAAGATTTGTTACAGAACAAGCGTTGGTTGGAAGGCCCGGAGTTCTTGTCCCAATCAAAGGAGAGCTGGCCAGAGCAGCCTATCGTTAGCGCCCAAGTCGTCAAAGATGCCGATCCAGAAGTGAAGAAGAATAAAACATTTGCCACGATTACAACTGTAACTGGTAAAGTTGACGAGATCTTTGCACGTTTCTCATCTTGGTACCGCTTAAAGAAGTTTGTGGCATGGATGCTGCGCTATAGACGTGCATTGCGTAAAGCCTGCGAGAAATGTTCTTCAAATGGACACGAACGAAAGCAAACACGTATCAAGCCACTAACGGTTGAAGAGTTGCGCGAAGCCGAGCTGGAAATCATCAAGATTGTCCAAGAACGAAGTTTTACTGAAGAGATTGCGGTGATGCTACGGAATTTAAATTCAGCTACTAATGCGAATGTCATGCCAAAAACAGTCAAATGTTCCAGTCCACTCTACAAGCTTGATCCAGTGTATGATAAGCGCGTCCTCAGGGTTGGAGGACGATTGAGAAATTCCTTGGTTTCGGAAGGAGCGAAGCATCCGTTGATATTACCCGGCAATCATCACGTCGTGACTTTGATCGTTGAATATTATCACGATCTCTCTGGTCATTCCGGTTTGGAACACGTTCTCGCGATGCTAAGAGAGAGATTTTGGATAATCAGAGCTCGGGTTCTGATCAAGACCGTTATTAAAAGGTGCTTCGATTGCAAGAAGAGACAAGCACCTGTAGGAGAGCAAATGATGGCAGATTTGCCAGTGGATCGTGTCACGGCTGGGAAACCGCCATTCACCAACGTTGGTATTGATTGCTTTGGCCCTTTCACGGTCAAGAGGGGCAGAAGCAATGTAAAGAGATACGGAGTCATATTTACCTGCCTGGCAATACGGGCAGTGCATATCGAAGTCGCGAATAGTTTGGACACGGATTCGTTCCTGAACGCGTTGAGGAGATTCGTGGCGAGGCGTGGCCAGCCAGAAGAAATTAGATCGGACAACGGCACGAATTTTGTCGGTGGAAATCAGGAGCTTCGAAGGGCGATAAAGGCGTGGAATCAAGACAAGATCAACGGTTTCTTGACACAAAGAAACGTAAAGTGGGTTTTCAACCCACCTAAAGCGTCTCATCACGGTGGCGTATGGGAGCGGTGTATTCGGACCGTACGAAAGGTGCTGAATGCTTTGATGAAGGAACAAGTCCTGGACGACGAGCGACTAACAACCCTTCTGTGCGAGGTCGAAGGAATTGTGAATAATCGGCCGATCACGAAAGTCTCGGACGACCCCAAGGATCTCGAAGCCCTTACACCCAACCACCTCTTGTTGCTGCGAAAGGGATCCGAGTGTCCACCCGGTGTGTTTACGAATGGCGACCTTTACTCACGTCGGAAATGGAGACAAGTTCAATACCTTGCGGATATCTTTTGGAAACGCTGGACGAAAGAATATTTACCATGTTTGCAAGAACGGCAGCAATGGTCCAAGATCCAAAGAAACTTCTCTGTCGGGGATATTGTGCTAGTAGCTGACGAAAGTTCACCTCGGAATATGTGGCCGTTGGGTAGAGTTGTTGATGTTTGGCGGAACAGTAAAGACGGTCTAGTGCGAAGCGTTGCAGTGAAGACGAAGAATACGACTTTGGATCGTCCGGTGACAAAGATTGTTGTACTGGAAACCGTCGAGCAAGTTGAAGAAGGAAGACCATGAACGATAAGTACAATATTAACATGCATCTATAGTTATACGTTGCATGATAACCGTTTAATATCTATCATTTTTGCCTTATATATATAGTTTGTTAGTTAAAGTCCAATCCTTCTGTTTGTTTAAATGCTCATAGTTCATACCTTCCCATTTAGGGGCTGGTATGTAGGATTGGAACTGTCAATTTGTGTTTTATTAGTAATGACAACTGTGCTTATCACAGGAAACTTATGTTTTTAAGACTGATGTAGTTAATTACGTTTTTGCATGGAAAAAGCACGCTTAGCCCCAGAACTCGGCAGTATATTTTGAGACACTCGTAAAGAGAGGACAGCCAGAGAGAGAGAGAGATAATTTACGTTGAAAGTTAAAGAGCTACTGGGGAAACATCTGTAAGTGACAATTCCTTTGTATATTGTAGTTTATTGTTTAGTTGCGTTATTGCTAGATTAAGTATATAGTATTAATTTAGGTTTGTATTCATTTCTATTTAGTCGAACCACGTTTCACGTTACACGTTATAGTTTCGCGTTTATATTACAAGTTTGGTTATTATACGATTACATTCGAGTTTGTGATCTATTTATTTCGTTGCCGTTGGCAAATTGGTAATCTGAACGACCCTTTTCTACGTGCGTTTGAACTGTTTTCCTAACGTTACCTCAATATCGGCCTCAAATTGAGCTCACCCGTGAGCTTTATACCATCTCGGTTTCACTGTGCATGTCAATGGTGTTAGAGCTTACACATATATATATATATATATATATATATATATATATATATATATATATATATATATATATATATATATATATAATTGTTGTTGTTCATCCATATATATGTATATATATATATATATATGGATGTTTTGATAAGCACAAATATTATAACAGATGGATAGGCCATCCAAACGAGAGTTACAACTGTCAGCTGATGAGAGTTCATGACATTTGCAGGTTATTTATAATTTTCTATATATGAACAACGTTGTGTGCATGACACCTGTCCATAAAACAACTCTGATTGCTGACAATAGGCTGAGGCTTTAGGAAATGCTATTTATCATTTTTTATTTGCATGCTTAGTGTCTTTTGGGGATGAATTGAATTTGTAATCCACTTGCAAGACTATATCTCCAGTTTTGAAGGCCAACTATATATATACTTCAAAAACTCATTAATAATTCATGAAGCAATTATCCAATCTTGAGTAAGAAATTAGTCACGTGCATTAGTCTTTATACCAGCTAAAGAACACTCTAACAAAAGACCATTGTTATGCAAACTATATAAAGGTTTTTATATAAAGATTTTTATATAAAGATTTTTATATAAAGATTGACTTATTATGCATACGTTTTTAAAGTCATTTGAAAAACT